TTTGCACTGCAGCGAGGCCGGCAGGGGAAGCGCAAGGGCAAGGCTGGGGGTTCTGTTTGGAAGATCTGGTTCATTTTCCTGCACAAGCTTCCCCTTGGCAAACAGACTTTTCCCTCGTCTGCTCGAAAGGATGACCTAAAGGTGGAGAAATGAGTCTCAACTGAAAAGGTCTCAACATCGTCAGAAAGCTTTGGGCAAAAACTTCAGAAATAGTACAATTCCACCACCAAACGATGGCGTTGTCACTGCTTGCCCCTGAACGGCTGTAGTTGTAGAAGACATTTGGTTAGTCAGCCCAAGAACCACTAAAGTTTTGGGTTGAGATAATGCCAGTTAACGGTAACATTTATGGTGCTGCGGCACAAAGCGTTTCAACATCTCATCTTCCCACATCAAAGCAAGGCTTGAAGGTGGAGGGAAGAAAAAAAAAAAAGAGAGATGGATACTCGCTGAAACAGTTTGAAATGCTATCTTCGAAAATTCAAATGTGCAAGTTCTGTCTCTCAGCTTTGCCCATTACTTAAATCTCTTGCTCTGCTACACCAATAGAAAAAGCAAGCCAGTGAAAATACAGGTACAGAAAAATAAAACAACCTACACAAAATGTAGAGTTACAGTACAGAAGAACTGTAAAACACTGCTAAAAGGCTCAAACATGTATTTCATAAGTAAAAATTATGGGCCACCCTCTCTCTAAGCTGAAGAGATTGAACACACAGTCCACTAACAGAAAGATATAAAATAAGTCGGGGCTCTCCTATTCTTCAGCTCCCCAGCTCTGGCATTTGCATTGAAAGGTTCTGCAACAGGACCAGTCACCAGGACCAAAGTTCATCTTTCTAAAAAGGAAAGGGGAGATGCCTCCTCGCCAGGTACTTCCGTGGCAGGTTTCCCAGAGTACGGCCAACCCTTACAGCTCACGGGTTATTTTAACATGCTCCCTATTTGCCCTATTTCTAAACTGGAAATCTGGGGACAGGATTACACCTAGCTGTCCTGGTTTTGGCTGGGATAGAGTTAATTTTCTTCCTAGTAGCAGGCATTGTGCTGTGTTTTGGATTTAGTAGGAGAAGAATGTTGATAACATGCTGATGTTTTTAGCTGTTGCTAAGTAGTGCTTATGCTAGTCAAGGACTTTTCAGCTTCCCATGCTCTGCCAGGTGCACAAGAAACTGGGAGGGGGCACAGCCAGAATAGTTGATCCAAACTGCCCAAAGGGCTATTCCATACCATATGACGTCATGCTCAGTATATAAACTGGGGGGGGTTGGCCGGGGAGCAGCGATCGCTGCTCGGGAACTGTCTGGGTATCGGTCGGCGGGTGGTGAGCAATTGCATTGTGCATCACTTGCTTTGTATATTATTATTACTTTTATTATAATATTGTTGTTGTTATTTTACTTTATTTTATTTCAATTATTAAACTGTTCTTATCTCACCCGAGGAGTGTTTCTCACTCTTACTCCTCCGATTCTCTCCCCAATCCCATCGGGGCAGGGGGAGTGAGCCAGCGGCTGGGTGGGGCGTAGTTGCTGGCTGGGGCTAAACCACGACACCAGCCCAAACCCTGCCTTGGGCATTATAGAAGCCCCTTTAGATAGTCATTGACATAGAAGAGTAATATAGACCCATGTCCAGGGAGAAACACCTCCTGAGGGTTTCTTCAGCCTCTCTCTAGAAAGCTGGAGGCACCCGGCCCCCAACAAGTAGGCCAGGCCTATTTCTTTACCCTCCTTTCCCAACGTTTCGCTCTCCTTCATGTGCCCCGTGGCTCCACCGCATTCTGCTGTGCCGTGCAGCTTCGGCATCTCTCTCGTAAACAACTAGACTGTGTTCATGCATAGTAGTGCAAAACTAAGCATGCTGCAAACTTCATCAGCCTTATAATCCTGTTAACCTTACTCTCTCTCTTGCTCTGTCCGCTTGCTGTCTTAGATCTATACTTAGACTGTAAGCTCCTCTACTCCGAGACTGAATCCTGGTGGACTTTAAAGCACAGCATGCGCTTAGAGCTGCATAATCTGCTCGGAAGGTAACGTGCTTTGCTCTGAGCACGAAGGCGCTCACACGGAGAACAGCAGCTGTTTAGCTTTGCACAAGGAACACAGACAAGACACCATCGCTCTCACTGATACATTGTCAGGAAGGGAATAATTATTTAAAGCAAAAACCAACTCTGGAAGAAGAATAAATGGCAATAGCCAGCCATGAAAAAACATCAAGATCAAAAGTAGATTTGTAACCAGCACCACAATGAATTTCTAGAACAGTGCTCTAGCAGGTGTACAGCTAAAAATGCATCCAGGCAGCTCCTTTGCAGATGGGCTGGTTTTCTGTAGGCAGGATCAGAGAAGGCAGCCCTTTCTTTTTAATAAAAAGTGAATATATCTGGAAATAGTAAGACCTGAATCAGAGTGCTACTTCCACCACAGAGCTGACTCTAAACCCCAAAGCTGTAAATCCCCAAGTGCCACAATTGTGCCTTTCCCAAATGAGAAGACATAGACTGGTAAGATCATGTGATGCAAGAGGTGAAAAAACATGTGAAATACAATCCCTTCAAAGTGCACAAAGTCATTAGACTTTTGGAAATTTACCCTGTAACATCAACAAACCTCCAAAATACAGTGACTAACTTCTGCTCACTGATCCTATTTGCTATATGCCCACCTACTGCATTCCTAATTTGACAGAAAACTAATACTTTGTATTCTCTTTATGGCAAGTAAAAAGCTGATCATCCAGCCTGCACTTTAAACTAGTCTCAGAACAAGAAGTCTAGTAACCACCAAATTCCAAATGGTTTCTTTGGTCATGGGGTTTTCATTCAATCTCAGCTGAATTCTCACTTGCACAGGATCAGAGGCAGTAAAACATTTATGGAAATGACACATCTGCACAGCACCATCTTTAGTTGACTATTTCAGAAAAAAGGCAACAAAGAACTTGCAGCACTAACAGATTTAGTTTCATACTTACTTTAATCTCAAGTGCTATTTATTTGCTCTTGGAGCTTCTATACATTTGTGTACCCATACTGTATCCCACGCAGCTGCAGACCGAGGACTCCTAACATCAGTTTGCAGAGGTGCTGCCAGCAGCGACCAAAGATTTTCTGTCTGGGCATATATGCTCAGCAGATGTGCCCCCATACCCTTCTCTACTCACCTTATTATAATCCTTACCACCAGGACTTTCTCATCTTCTAGCAGGGTCTCTTCCTCATGTTGCCCTATGCATTCGGCATCACCCCAGCCTCAGGATTGCTGCTCTGCTCACCCCTGGGTCTGTGTCCTGCCCCAAGCCCGTGATGACGGAGTTCCCCCTTCGCAGCTGCAGGTAGCTGCAAGCCACTCGGTCACAGACCGTACCTACGCTTGCAGGCAGCTCCCCACTGCTTGGGGAAACCTCTGCAACAAGCAGTCAGGGGTAGTGAGACAGCTGCTTTTCACTGGTTTGCATATATAGAAACCACTGGTTGGAAAACTCCACGGGAAAATCCTATCGCCCCCCTCAAGTCTTGCTGAGGTACCTATTTTATTCACTGATAAATCAAACTCTAATTTTGGTCAGCTTTTTTTTTTTTTAATAAGGGAATTCACAAACAGCCAAACATTTCACCAGCAGTACTCGGTCACTTTACTTTCAGAATCCATTGATTTGTTTTCTATTGTAACATTACCAATTACAACATTTAAAACAAAGAAGGAGCTCAAGTTCTTTACAAAGACTTACATTTCAAGAATGAAACCATTCATTGTCTGAAGTGCCAGTTTGATAAACACGTACGTAATTGCAATGGAAATAACTTGGCAAGATGAGTTCAGTGCCACTGACAGTTTTTCAAACACTTTTTGAAACTGGTTCGAGCAATCCAAAACCATTTGTATCTGTAGCCATGCCTTGTAATAACAATTACGTTCAACTGCACCTACTGGAAGAGTAAGACCTAGGACTTATGTTTCAAACTTGGGATCTAAAACAATGAAAAAATGCAGAACACCTCTAAAAATGGTTGAAACAAAGACTTGCTGATAAAATCCTTTTTTATTTCTGAGTACAAGAAAAATGTACAGCTAATCTAATTTAGCATATAATACCCTCAGCTCTGTGTCTAGGAAATTAAAAGAGACTCCCATTTAGCAAAACAAAAGCTATACAAATCCAAAAACACCAAGATCTGAATCCCTCTGCTCACTCACTGCTGTCTTGCCACCTTTTCCATTACTTTCTTCCTATTGACCTTGCCTCTTCTTGGCACTCTCACATACAGACAGGGGTGTACTGCTTTAGCCATGAAAAACTCCTAGTGACAACAGAAATGGGTGCTAACTTACAGTTAACTTTAATTCTTTTATTAGTTAATTTGCAGCTATGAATAACTAAGAGTTACATCTGGTATTCTTTTTTAGTGTTGCAAACTCTGGCCCAAATCTTATTTATTTACCTAAAAAATAACCTGGCTCAGAAGAATATTCTGCCAAATTGTATATTCGTTTACCCAGGATGAAAACTCAGTATGTGCCATAACTTTAAATAGGAAAATTTCTACCATGTATCCAACCTTCCTTGGATCCAAGGATCCTTGGATACCTCACGGTGAGCTTGTTGAACAGTAATTCTGAAAAGAGCAGAGTTCCTAACAGAATACCAGTCTCGAGTTTAGTGGTGCAAATGATCTCTGTATCAAAGGATGCAAACATCCCTGATTACAGAAGGTACTTTTTTTTTTTTTTTAAATGCTGGACAAAAAGACTTCAGGAGTTGGGTGATCCTGTAAAATAGATCACTAGTACCTAAATAATATTTCTTACACCATTATGTCATCAAGACTACTGAAGTTTATTATTTCTCAAACTCGGTAGACTATGGGTAAGTTTTCCATATTAAAAGCAGCAAAAATTAAGACTCACAGGAGCTTTTAATTAAAAATCATCATATCCGACAGCTAAAATAACTGCTTCTCAGAAAAATAAAATGCATTAAAACCTTATTTGTCTGCTACAATAGAATTTTCAGAAAAAAATACCTCAAATGTACAACTGTTCAAGTACAGCCAGTGTGCAATTAAATTAGTTAGAAAACATAATTTAATAGTGCTTTGTTTCAAAATATACATAATACTGAAGAATACTTAAAACCAAGAAACCGAATATTTACCAAGTTTCGAACAGAGTTTCATCAAAATGAGGTAAATCGATGTCACCTGCCATTGAGCTTGGTGCTGAAATGGAGAACAGGTCTTCAAGGATATCTTCCCTTGTAGGACTTTCAAAAGTAAGATTCTTCATGCTGGGTTTGCTTATTGTATGAAGTTCTGAATTACTGTCCTTTACAGGACTGTAATAATTGTGGTCCTCGCTTGTCATTGCCGCACGTGGCACACTGCTCTTCTCATCAGATGCCGTTGTTGCAACACTGCTATCTACCATTTCCATATACATGCATTCATCTTCACTTTTTGGAGCCTCTAAGGAAGCAACAGTTGAAGTAGAGGACAGTAATTCTGCCAGTATTTCATCACTGTTACTATGGCTAGTGCACCCTGATACGGAGTTCGCATTAAATTCAGATTCATTATCTGCGACATCAATCTGATACTGCAGTTCCCTTAAAAAGCTCTGCAAAAATTCACTGTCATTGTGAGATTCAGTCTGTGATGGGGTGCTTACATCTCCACTCACAGCTTTTTCACGTTTCATCTGTTCCCCTGCTAGCCTATCCAGTGAAGCCAACTTCTTCTTTTTAGCATTAAGTTTTTTTAACAGTTTCAGGCGAAGTTTTTTTGTTTTGTCACTATCTGACTCTTCTGCCTTCCCAGAGTTACAGCTAGGTGAATGGAACTGAGTCACTTTACCTGAGGTACCTGACGTACTTCCTGACTTATTCCAAGTTGGACCTTCAATAGTGGCATGACTTGCTTTTGGAAGACGAGTGCTTTGAGAAAATCCTTTGGAATTTGATAAAGGATGAGTATTATTACTCTGAGGAACCACTGACTTCAGGGTCTCAGTTGTTTTGTTTGTACCTCTGCTTTGAAATCCACCAAAGTTACTTGCTCCCTTAACTGGCAACCACACTTCACTTATTTTTTGCATTGAGGGAGTTTTGCAACTTCTCTCATTCTTGAGAGCTGAGGCACTTGAAGGCATAAAAGAAGTATTCTTGCTTAATAATTTCTTTACCCAGCTTCCTACAAATCCTCTTTTTTGGTCTTTGTGTGAAGGCTGAAAGGAATTATTGGCAGCAGCAGAATTGGCAACCTGAGAATTAACTACAATTTTGCTTGCATCTTTCAAGTCAGGTGATTTTTGCTTAATATTCTCTGCTGGTGACAACTTCTTGTTTAGCTGTAGTTCTGAATTTAATCCATGTTCTCTGTTAGGTAAATTAGTTCTGTCATCTGTTCTTTGAGCAAGCAATGAGCCAGATGGGTCAGGGGAGCGGTTTTTGGGCACAGGAGGAGTAATATTTGCTGGGTGCAATTCTAGAGGCAAGCAAATGCTGGAATTTTGATATAATGTGCGCTTGTTGTTCACAGCTAGACTAGTTCCAGCAAACTCTCCTGTATACGGAGTGTTAGGTGAAAAAGCTAATTCCCCCTGTTGTGGTGTGCCCATTTCAACAAGGTTATTTCCCACCGTCTGTCCATTCGACAGCGATTTACCTTCTGAGTCAACTTGAATTTCTTCAAGCATCAGTGTTACAAGATCATTACGTGCCAGATTTTCTAAACCATGATGAATGCTACTTTCATCCTCAGCTACCTGCTGCTGTTTCTCAACTGGAGTTCTCACAGAATCCTCTTTGCAATGTTCTGCAGGTATTTTGTCTACAGTGTTATCAAAACCACAATGCAACACTGGGGAATTTGACTGTACATTATCAAGAGGAAAATCTTCAGTATTTTTACTCTGGAACTGTGAATTCAGTTCTTCTGGCACATGGAATGTTTTCTTTTCCCAGATAGCAATATGAATCTCTGAAGAAGGAACTTCAAATCTTTTATGTCTCTTGCAATATGGACCCTTTAAATCATCACATTCAAGCCAAGTTCCTGAAAAATAAACAGCAATCAGTGTAGAGACTCAAAGGCTTTTAAAATTGAAGTCACTATCCTCAGACACTTGTCAAATACTTTTATTAACCCATTCCCCTGGCAAGCAGAAAATAAAGGGTTTTTTTTTTTCCCTCCATTCTTTATTACATCTGAGAAAACTGGGAGATTTCCACTGTAAAAAGATTACACACAAGAAGAATTTGCAGCAATATTATTACAGGTCAGAGTAGGTCAGCCAAAAAACAAAGCTAAGTTTTTTTTGTCTGAGCTAATGATGCTGACATCTTGTCTGAAAATACCCACACAGGTCTCAAAGAAGAACCACCTATCAAATTAAGTTTCTCTGCCTTTTCATTGCCTGGGTGGGAGGCACAGGGGTTTAAGAGAAACTGCTCATTTCATTAATCTGCCTTATCATCTGCAAATTGTTCACACATCATAAGCAAATATTTTACAGCTTTAAGAATTTAAAAAATAGATATATATGACGTATAGGATGTTCCTAATTAGGTGCTTCCCAGTTGCTTCCTCTTCCTATTCCTTCTTAAACTCTAACAGTATGATTTAGACAACTTTCATGTTGTCAGAACACTTAAGAGTGCACTCCATTCTCTCTACAGAAGCATGAGAATCAAAATACCAACTTTTCATCGTCTCTGATTATGGAGTTCCCACCAATGGTACAACCATCATACCATTAGTAATGGTTCTAACATGGGTTTGTGCCTTCCACCCCTCTGATGCAGTGAAGTTCAGAAATGAAAAGAAACTTCATTAATGCTCATAGTTCCATAGGTTCCCTCACTTCCAGCCAAGAATGGATTAATAACTGGCTTCAAAATAACCAATACCATTTGTCCATGAGACTGTATTTTTTAACGTTATAGAAAGTTATGAAAGGAAACAACTCTATCCAAATAACTTTTGCCAGTGAGTACAGTGTAGAACAGAAGACTGCTGAACAAATCAGCTAAACCAAACTGAAACCTTCACCCCGAATAAGAAAGTTCCCACAATTATTCACAGAATTTAAATTTGAAGTTTAGAATACAGACAAAAGAAATCCCTGTTATTATATATGGACCATTGAGACTATTGCAGTAACCCAACAAACAGTATTTGATGTAGTCTCATGAAGTATTATAATAGAATTTATGGTTCTTACCATCAGGATTCAAAGACCAGGTTATGAAGTGCTTCTTATCTGTTTGATACTGAACAATAGCAGTTATTTGGTAAGTGTCATCTTCAAACCGAAATGAATAGTTCTTCAGGTTGTTATGTGGCAAGCCTTCTATGAAATGTAACATTAATATTGAGGGTACTCTAATAAAGAAACAATAAAGAACCAGTGTATTACAACAAAATAGTTGCAAAAATTCCTAATGAAAAATCACAAGTAAGGTATCTCAAAGAGTATGTAGTCCTGCCTGTACTATTCTACTTCCACACTGGACTCTTCAGATTGCACAGTAGTCAAGGGACAAGAATACCCTAACTAAGTATTCCATTTTGTTATAGATGAGGGGAAAAAACCCCCAGCACCACATCAGGGATTTTGGGAGTGGGGAAAAGGTAAGAAAAAAAAAAGAGACCGTGCCATAACCACAGTAGGAAGGGACACTGTTCCCAAGGCAAACTACTAAACAGGTGATCAGACAACAGTTTTATCCACCAAAGGCAGGGGTTGTGGAAAGGCTGACACTGGATATCAGTTATCTATATTTACCACTTGTTAGTAAGTATTTATGACCTGGCTCAAACACATGTGCTGGTCAGCATGCTAAACACTGCTCTGTGTTTCATGTTTATTAGACACTATTTGCCATTTCAGCATTTGAGAATGATCTAAAATCTTAAGCAGTGAGTATTTATCAGAGTTGAAAGTTTAGAATCTCTGTAAACCAAAGACAATAGTTTGGTTTTGAAAGTGATATGTTCAATAAATGACATGCCAGAATTTTATGTATTATATTTTCAAGTTCACATATTCAAACTTACTTTTCCAAGATCATCTGTCTTCTTTGAGATCTATCACTACAGTTATTACATGGTCCAACATGAATAGCATTAAGTGGATGCCAATCAGGGATTACATTTGTGAATGTTGTCAGTGTTTTCCTAAATCTGCATGGACACACACACACACACACAAAAAAAAAAAAAAAAAAAAAAAAAAAAAAAAAGTTGAGTTGCTGATCAGAACACAATAAATATACACACTTTACCAGGAGAAAAAAAGTTAGAAAAAGGTTATGACAAAGTCAAATTCTATTCTTATTCAGGCCATTTGTGTGAATTCCACTGTGACTGCATCACATCCAAGTCAGCACTGAATTCGGTTCTGCCAAACAGTATCAGTCACCATTTGTTCTCAGCAGCTCTGTGGCCTTCAGTTTCACATTATTTGCTCTTTCTCCCTTAGCACGTTATCTCTGTTTCTTTTGCAACAAGACAGAGCTTGTACCAGGATCCACATAACTGACTAGCTAATACAGAATCTCAAGGAGAGAAAGAAGTGGTAACAAATTACCTCAGAACCCATGTTACACAATGTTTTGTTTTCAAAAACCAGTACATTCAGAGCTGAGATTACACTGAGGTTATATTGAATGAAAATACAATGTACAGGATATTAAAGTGCAATAACACAGTTTATTAATTCATTAGCCACAGGAAGGACTTCCTTTATTTTCAAGCTAACCTAGATTTTTCAACTTTTTAAAAAAAACACAGCATGTAACAACAGCTCTTGAACACATTCTATTAACCACGACTACACATTAGCTGGCAGTGTAATATAGCATTAATCTCATCTCACTGGGGGATCTAGAATTTTATTGTATAAACCTAAGAGAGTGGAGAGAAACAGGTATTTTTCAAGCAAAATGAGCTGTCTTCTAAAGGTGTCTCTTTTTCTGCTGACCCTAAAAGGAGCCTGGATGACTAGCTTGTACCTGCAGCTACACAGAACTAAATCAATTCTCAAGAAATTACTTCCCTGTAATACTATTCTAAAATAGATATATTATGTGAGCGAATCTCTAATTCTCTGTAATCCAAATGAATATTACAGATATTCTTCAACAGCAAAAGTGTACCAGGCGTATATTCTTTAGAACTGCAACAATTTGTATACTCTCAGCAACATATTAGAGTGAGCACGGCCAGGGATTCACACAGTTACCTATCATTTCTTTCTTAATTCAGTGAGAACGTGGTTTCCTAACACATTACACAGCAGCAAACTATTTGTAAATGCTAGCCTAAAAAACTGGATCATGCAAAACCTCACCAACAAGCTTAAGCTGTACCAAACCTGGAGATATGAAGAAAAAATCAACTATTATATGCAGATTTAGAAAGGTAAGATAAAACAATTATATAGAAGCTACTTAAATAAAAACCTCACCGATCTTGGTATTTGTAGCCACAATATGCACATTCAAACTTCCATGAAAATGAATACAAGAACAGTTTCTCAGCTTGTTGATCCTGTTTTAAGAGTAGAGGGAGTGCAAACACTGGACTCTCCTTCTTACCTTCAAAGATAGGGCAGAAAAAAAAAAAGTCACTGAATATTTGAAATCAGCTTTCAGTACTTCAAAAAGGAAGATGATGAGATTACTGCTATGATTTTAATTCCAGTTATCCCTTAAAGGTGGTATTTCTAGTCCTCACAACAAAGGGATTGATCCATGTTATTAGGTTGTTATCAATGACAATTTCATGACCACAGCACAGTTACAAAGACAAGAATATGCTCTCTAAAACTTCAAAACCAGTCAAGGGACAAAACAGCTGATCACACTGTAAAGTATATGTATGTCACTAATAAAAACAAATGTATTTGCAAGCTGTCTTGTATGCATACATACATACATATTTTTAGGTACTGACGCACAAGGCTTTATGTCTAGCGTTTCCTGAACGTAAATACTGAAGATGCTGCACTAATTACTTACCCAATTCACACTTAAGCTGAGGCTGTAGCTGTGTGAACATTCCGTTTCTGATTTCATTGAGATGAGATTCTGCTTTTGGAAGAACATCTACAGAAAAAAACATATATGCCTTCATGTATTGGTGTAACAGCTCCATCCTTTCACATGCATATGCACCCTTAACATGCACTCATTCTCTGCAAACTGATGCCTTTCATGTTGACCTATACTTGCCTAAAACAGTTGGTAAAATAGCCGATGCTTCGCATTAATTGATTTGAAGATCAGAGAATAATTTACAGAAGTTATACACATTTTACTGCAGTCTGCTAACCACAAACTACTTGACCTGACTTAAATTATGGCTAAAAGTGTGTACTAACAGCTAGATAGTCACTACATTTCAGGATAATGTAACCAGACATTACAAACCCTGGTGATTCAGAGATTAACAGTAGATTTTTAAGATCAAAGGCACAAAAATTTGCTTACATGCTTTCTACTGATGTTATACAATTAGTAATAAAACATCTAAATGTGTTGTTCCAGATTAAATACTAATTTCTTAAGTCAGCCTTTAAAACAGTAAAAATAATTTTTTAGAAGTGTACTTTACATATCTTAGTATGTATTTTAAATTTGCAAGTTACGTTGTTTATTCACAAACACAGCCTTTAAGCACAAGCAAGAATATAACTTCTACTACACAATCGTGATCATAATTTGCACAAATTAAAGGAAGGATTTAGAACAGCTGTTGAAACTATTTATTACTTATAAAAATCTATGTGTATAAAAAGGTAAAAAGACATTTCTTGCAGCAGTATTGCTTTTGATTGTTTTTAAAAACAACCATATGTAAAAGACGCTGAAAAACTACACAGAAGGGCAGAATAAATACTCCACAACAACGCTCTTCATCCAATACCCTCTCCACTGCTGCCCAAATAAACTAATTTGTTTTTCAGCAATTCCTGGAAATGAAGAGGTTTACGTTATCTCAAATGACACTATATTCCAACATCTAACATCCCCATTTAAGTGCTCTTGCACACCAGAGCTCCTTTGCAAACAGCAAAATGGAAGGGAAAGAAACAGATCTCAGACAGGTTCTGTGATGGTAGAGGGCTTCCAGGTTGTCCTGGTTTTGGGTGGGATAGAGTTAATTTTTTTTCCCAGTAGCAGGCATAGTGCTGTGTTTTGGATTTAATATGAGAATAATGTTGATAACACTCTGATGTTTTAGTTGTTGCTAAGTAGTGCTTATACTGGTCAAGGACTTTTCAGCTTCCCATGCTCTGCCAGGTGCACAAGAAGCTGGGAGGGGGCACAGCCAGGACAGCTGACCTACACTGCCCAAAGGGCTATTCCATACCATATGATGTCATGCTCAGTATATAGGCTGGGGGGAGTTGGCCAGGGAGCAGCGATTGCTGCTTGGGGACTGGTTGGGCGTTGGTCAGTGGGTGGTGAGTAGTTGCATCACTTGTTTTTCCTGGGTTTTGTTTCTCCCTCTCTCTCCTGTTGTTTTAATTTTCATTACAATTTATTATTTTTATTTTATTTTAATTATTAAACTGTTCTTATCTCAACCTATGAAATTTCTTACTTCTCCTCTTCAGATTCTCTCTTCCATCCCACCAGGGGGGAGGGTGAGCGAGCAGCTGTGTGGTGCTTGGTTGTCGACTGGGGCTAAACCACAACACAGGTAATAGCTGAAAACCTAAAATCAAGCAGCCTGACTTTCTGGCAAGCAGAGTATATGAACTACTTCAGAATCTTTTAGGATTTTCTTTTTTCCCCTCTGTAAAATAGTATGTTTTCTCTGCCACAAGGTGGATTAAACCAGTTTTGATACACCTATTATTTTTCCCAGGAAAGACATGATATTCTTCAAGTTATATAATTCTGTTCTCAGACTACAGTCTATATATTCAAACACACACTTTTCCTGGAATGTCTACTGGAAAAAAAAAAAAAAATCATGAAAGGTATGGGCTAACCAGAGATCTGTATTAATTCTCTAACAGATGATCTCTTCGAAGTTCAGACTTATGACATCAATGGGTCAGTTCAAGGGGACTAAGAAAAAGAGATCTTAGTTTAAGAGTCTTAAACTGAATCCACAGTACAGAAAATGATCAAAGGCCGTACTAGTAGATTACAGTGACACATCCTCCTCTGACTCCAGCTGTGCTGCCTGGAAGGTTGCCCCCAGCTGCCCATCACTGCCCCTGTGCTTGGAGGTTACAGTGCTCGAACCTGTTAACCGCACATGTAAGTACTCACTAACCCTGGCCAGACAAGAAGAACCAAGTTAATGTGTTTGACTAATTTTGACTGGAACAGGTTAGGAAGCACTATCATCCACAGCACAGCTCACAGACCTCAGGGGAAGTGCTCCTTCAGTGAGCGCGGCTGGAGCCAGAACAGAACACATGTTCCCAGCTTTACTATTTTTGGTGTGACAAGGCAAGCGCCCATTTCTGCAAGGATATAAACCACAACAGGAATTATTTTGAAGATTAAGATTAGAGCAGCATCCTAACATGTTAACCAACAGAGGGAAAGGAAACAAAGTAAGGCTCAATTACATAAACAATTCACAAATTTGCTATGTGGGATATGACAAAAAAATTCAAGAGATGCTTAGTGTTTGATGCTTTCAAAGTGTGCACGTTTGCCCCAAGAAAAACAATTTCAGAGGTTACCAGGATTCTGCTAGATAAAGCACACTACTCTGCAAATTCATGGTAATGAGTTGTAACTCATTCTTTTGTGATCTTGAAATAGAACAGAGGCATATTTAAGTACACTGTACTAAATTCCACATATTTGGAGCAGATCAAATCAGTCTGAATATGGAGAAACACCAGCTAAATTTACTCACCTTTTACTTTACTCCTTTTACAGGTATTCAGAAGCATAGTTGCCTGATTATATTTTGTTATGAGTTTCTGGAGTAAACATTTTCCATCATTATATTCTTCTGCTAGAGCAAATTTTAATGTTTCTAAGTGTACCAGTGCTGACAAAATACAATCTAACCAACAAAGATTATGCATGTTTCTCCACTGAAGACATAAATCTGTGTTATTAGTGGAACCTTTATCATCTTTGAGCAAAATTTCAGATGTTGTTGAGCAAAGTTCAGGATTTGGCAAGAGTTGTGCTCTGGGACTAGAAGTCTTAGGAGGACTTTCTTGATAGCTGTTGGTGTTGGCGGTTGTTTCAAAATCCACCTTTTGGATGCAGGACTCCACATTGCTACTTGGTTTTTGCTGGTCATTTTGTAACACATCGTGTAGGCTTGACTTGGGAATACATAAACTATTCAGATGGGATTTGACAACAGGGTCTCTATTAATAGTGTGCTCAACATTTACCACATTATTAGTTCTTGCTTTTTTTGGATGTGATTCAACAGGAGAAAAGTCACTGATGTCACACAGTTTCCTTTTCTTATGAGTAGACGGAACTTGATGATTTTCTGAATCAGCAGAAGTAATTATGCTGCTTAGTGGTTTATAACCAAGTGGGTAGATACACTAAAGGAAAGAAAGAAAGTTACAGTGAAACCTACAAAACAATTTCAGGTGAACAAGAGCTAAAAAAAAAAGTACAAACCACACTCTTAAAATGGAATGCAGAACTTCTGTAAAGTGATATTTTAATGAAATCAATACATAAATTCAACATACGTATGACAGGAAGGGTGTTTTATCCAACCACTGTCTTATAAGCAATTGTGAAGGAAATATATCAGTAGCGGTAATCAACACTACTTTTCCAGTAAATACTTCCAACCCCCAATTTTGCTAAGGAGAGTCCTCTTCTCTTATTCTGCTAAATCCACTCCTTTAGGGTACAGATTTGGCATCATCATCTTGTACCTGAGAGACTATTGGTGCCAAAACTGGCAGGGTATCTTTCAGGCTAGCCCAAAGCATTACACCAGGTGTTGGTAGGGTGTTACATATATAGCTATTCTGCAACCAGTATATAGTCAAATCTACTATCACCAATCTCCAGAACAATACTATGTTTATTTAAAAGTGGGGAGGGATGGGAGAAGCAACTCAGAGGCCCATATCTAGTCTAGTGTCTACCTACTAATTTAAGGGCACCAGTCCATATGGGATAGCTATACCCTCCCCACATATGTGAGCAGTAGAGAAGGGAGAGGCAACAAAATCACAACTCAAATATTAAGCAGCACAGAAATCCAGCTAAGGTTAAACTTAAAAGGGAACAACAAAAAAAAAAGGGAAAAAAAAAAAAAGAAAAACTTTGTAATTATAATTACAAACCTACTTGCATTACCTAGACTTAAAGAAGAGCAAATGGGAGACTCACATCTGCAAGAGTCGTGTATTAGTTACACGATCATCACATTTTCACCTTGTATTCCGATTCATACAAAGATTTATTTAGCACCATTTGTGTTCCCCTGCTACATAGGCAAAACTCTCCTTTATTCATTTTAATCTACTCTTTTTAATTCTTTAGGGTAGCTAGCTGCGCCTAAACACTGCAGGTACACAGGGTAGTTATGTTTTTGTCTATATACAGGCAAACATCATCCAGCATATGGACTCAAAGGGATCCTATTTCAACAGTCTGCTTACAACCAATAAATTCTTGAACTTAACGAGGTATAACTGCTGAAGGTAAAGGCCTCTACACAACCAAATGAAACTGTTAATTAGTGTAATACCTGAGGATTTTCACAAAGAAAAATGGACTCTTGAAAATTAATGCGGTAAGTCCGTAAAACTTGGATCTGGCCCTTCTCTTTGCAGACTGGACAATATTCATGTGCAGTTGTTTCCACAGGATTACAGTTCTATAAAAAAAAAAAAAAAAAAGGTGGAAAGAAAAAGGAGCATAAACTTATGTATTTCATCTATTATCCCAAGGTAAGACATACATACATACCAAGATAGAAAACCAATGTGCAACTTCTAAATATAATACCTAATACAATATAAAAAAGTAAACTAGATTTTTAAAAAAATATTTAAAAGATATATATTTGTACTGTAGAATGTTCTAAATAAATTTATCTTTTGATTTAAATATTCAAATATTTAATAAGGTATCTTTAATAACACAATTATGCAACATTTTGTACTTGAACTAAACCAAAGGACACTTATTGCCAGGGAACACAAGCTCAGATCTTTGAAAGACAAATCAATTTTCATAGGAATGCAAACAGTTGTAAAAATAGTGCCAATAAAAAAAATCATAGGCACAGATTTACTTAGAATAATCTTTCGCCATTGTTATAGATTTCCGTGGAAAATAATTTTAAGATTTTTTTTTTTAAATTAAGACCAATTAAAAATCTCTCAAAGCAGAGAAAAATATGAACTTTGCACACATGTAAAACAAGTTTCAACTGACTTTTCCCAAATACCCCACCATGTGGAGTGTCGATTTCCCTATACCAGTCCCTTCTCCAATCACTTGCAAACCATTTGTAGTCTTCTGGGTATCCATCATTCTGAGCCACTGGCTAATTTATGTCACTTGTAACAATGTCATGACCACTAAGGATTTTTCAAAGACTCCTGAAAAATAAGAAGTGAATAAAACAATTAAAGAAAAATTAGATTAAATTTGGGGAAAAAAAATATACCAACAATAATGCAGCCTGTATTTTCTGTGAGAATGAATTCAGAACAGTATTTTCTTAACTGAAAATACTTATTTTCTAGTGCAGATTATGAACTCAAAACTTTAAGTCACAAAATAGATTTAACAGCTTTAGGCCCTGAATTTGCAAAGGTTTTTGGTTTTTGCACTCTACAAGGTCTAACATATTTTTCAAGTGCACTATACTTTGCAGAAATGTAGATGTCTTCCCTGGGCATCTCAGCTTACTGCATCGAACCCTCAGAAAGAACGAACTTGTTTAAAAATGTCTACAATAAGATCCCATACAATTATAGATGGCTGCTGAGGAACATCAAAAAAACCAAGCAACCAAAAAAACCCCACTGTTGCATCTTTCAAAACAGTGAATTGAGTGCATAATAAACTATTAAAAGTTTGTCCTTTTTTAAGGATAACAATTTTTAACTACAGACGGGCATCCTGCTGTTACTGTCACTTCTAGGAAGGTTCTCCTAATGTTATTTTTAAAATGTTATAGACTTCCTAGAAAACTAAAGCTCTTCTGCAGTGTCATTACTATATAACTCTACTGCATATTTTACAAGTGACAGTGAATATTCTATTTCAAATAATTTCTCAAATTCAGGGCCAAATTTTGCCTCTCACATGTCACACATACACATCTGTGGAGTACTTCAATATGAACCAGAAGGCAGCTCCTTAAGTCCATTCCTTCACTGGCACTGAGGCTAACTACACCTTGAATCAGCCAGAAAAACACAGAGTTTTAGAACTACAAGGACTACAAGCTCCTGCTGACTTCAAATGGAACTAACTAGAATAAATACATATCTCTTTAAGACACAGGAGGAAGTTAAGGTAAATTGAATTGCAAAGTCATCAATGTAGTATCTTTCCTTTAGCCACAACTGTTCTCTTTTCATTACTTCCACTGAATAACATCCTTTCCCACACCATGATGTCCTTTCAACCCCTTCCTACACTACAGCACTAACTCAGATTACAGTTCCTTTCAAAAAAAGAAATTTCCCAAGGCATTCTTGGAGACCCGTGCAAATAGCACTTCAACCCAAAACCATTTATAACACTGCGTAAAGAGAGACCCTACAGAACTGGATGGAATGCTAGAAACCAACAGAACATGGAAAAAAAAAAGCGCGCGGTAGGAAAATGTAACAACTCATTTCAAATCAGCCCTCAATGGCAACTTAAGAGAGAATCAAAATGAGATGACGGTGTGTCCTATTGACACTTTCAATGTGTTCTGCAGCACTTTTCAGAATTACCGGGCTGCAGCATGTAAAGACGGTATACCCTGACTTATAAAACTAATGGTTGTAATGGAATGTAAGAACGTAAAAATATCAACCCACGTGCCTTAGAACACATGATTAGTTTTCAAAGTAGAGTTGGAAGGTGTACAAGAAACAGCATGGTCCTGGGCTCACTCAAGGTAAAAATTAATGAATTAGCTCAAAGTCTACAAGCTTCTTGGACTATAAAGGAAAGGCAAGCTCTCCAATTTTTCACACAGTGGCAACAGCACTATCACACTGTGACTCAACTCTATTATCATGTATTTAGTCTAGCCAGGAACTTGATTTTTTTTTTTTTTTTTAATACAAGTTGTGCAGATATCAATCACACTAAAACACATAACTTTACTCGCCATGCTATAGCTAGTAAGAAAATGTCTCTAACTTGTTCAGGGGACTTTTAGCCAATTCCTTGGCCTGAAGCAGTCTCAGCTGTCCAGAATAAATGAAATACATAGATCACATGACTGGAACTCTAGGCAATTTCTCACCACATAAATACAACACACACTCAAAAAGGTTTGTAACACTAACAACCTGCAGGTTATTCCTCTTAAAGCATGCCTTGGTTTTATAAAACATATTTATTTCTTTGCAAGTCCCTGTTTTCCCTGTCATCCCTCTCAAAAGGAAAGCAAGGGTTTTTTTCAGTTTTTCAGTTCTCTGCTACTTCTGCTCTTCTTTTTAAAGCTTAAATACCGTTCTGAGATGTACAATACCTCCCCCAACTATAATCACCCAGCAATAGTACTATAGCACTAGAGTCCAGAACTTTCATTGCACTTATGAATATAATAAACATTAAAAAAAAATTATTAATTGTCCTTTGATTTCAAAGACATAAACACAACAGCAAATAAAACAGGTCTGCCAGTACAAGATACACAGAGTGGTACCAAGTGGCCTGCCTGTACATTTCAGTATTTGTAACACTACAGCAAGTAATTAGTGATCTTTGCACAACGTAAAAAAATTAGGCATAAGATCAACAGTTGCCAAGAAAGATGGCCAATTAAAAGACTGCTGTATCAAGTACTGAAACAACCCATTGTAGCAACGTGTAATATCCACATTACAGATGGGAAAGTATACAGAAATGCACTTTCAAGCTTACTGGGTCATGTTTTAAACATCTATGCTACTTTCCTTCTTTTATCCTGGATACTTGAAAAATGTAATGCAAAATATGCTATGGACCTGGTATAATTATTAAGGCTATGGTTATGCTTCCTTGAGTAGATGAGTTGATCTAATGGCTTGCTGCTGCAGAATAGGGAGGTCTCTCTTCTCTCCCTCCGCCTTCCTTGACAGCTCACATTCTGCTATTCTAGTGAGTTAAACTGGCCTATAAAAAGGTCTGATGAGCTACAGAGCTGACAGGGCAGAAGACAGAAAACAAGGAAGAGGTGAAGGATTGGGGAGATATGGGTTAGATGGCTAAGGCATTGGCTGGATGGCCACATCCAGAGTTGTGGTCAACAGCTCAATATCCCAGGTAGAAACCAGTAAATGAGTGGTGTCCCTCAGGGGTCCGTACTGGGACCAGTACTGTTTAATATCTTCATCAATGACATAGTGGGATCGAGTCCACCCTCAGCAAGTTTGCAGACAACACAAAGCTGAGTGCTGCGGCTGACACACCTGAGGGACAGGATACCATCCAGAGGGACCTGGACAGGCTAGAGAGGTGGGCCCATGCAAACCTCATCAGGTTCACAAGGCCAGGGTCCTGCACCTGGGTCAGGGCAACCCCCAGTATCAATACAGGCTGGGGGATGAAGGGATTGAGAGCAGCCCTGCGGAGAAGGACTAAGGGGTACTGATGGGTGAAAAGCTGGAAGTGAGCTACCAACGTGCTCTTGCAGCCCAGAAAGCCAACCGTATCCTGGGCTGCATCAAAAGAAGCATGGCCAGCAGGTCAAGGGAGGTTATTCTGCCCCTCTGCTCTGCTCTGGTGAGATCCCACCCGCGGTACTGTGTCCAGCCCTCAGCACAGGAAAGACATGGACCCGTTGGATTGGGTCCAGAGGACGGTCGTGAAAATGATCAGAGGGCTGGAGCACCTCTCCTGTGAAGAAAGGCTGAGAGAGTTGGGGTTGTTCAGCTTGGAGAAGAGAAGGCTCCGGGGAGACCTTATTGTGACCTTTCAGTACTTAAAGGGGGCTTATAAGATGGAGACACTTTTTACCAGGGCTTGTAGCGACAGAATAAGGTGCAACGGTTTTAAACTGAAAGAGGGTACGTTTAGATTGGACATAAGGAAGAAATTTTTTTCCAGTGAGGGTGGTGAGACACTGGAACAGGTTACCCAGAGAAGCTGTGGATGCCCCATCACTGGAAGTGTTCAAAGTCAGGTTGGACAGCGCTTTGAGCAACACGATCTAGTGGAAGATGTCCCTGCCCACAGCAGGGGGGTTGAAATGAGATGATCTTTAGAGATCCCTTCTCACCCAAACCATTGCATGATTCTATGGTAAAAGGGACCTGGACCTTTTGGTAGCAGCGAGCTGTACCTTGTGAAACAGTACCTTATAAATAAAAATCAGTTACAAACTGCAGTAGGCAGATAACAGAACACTGATTACATTACAGTGAACATCTCCTCTTTGTTTAAATGCTAAAGGGACACTTAAAAATGCCCTTCCTGTAAATCACCTTACAAGTCTTCTCTCCTTCCTCAAGGGGATATTGAAGAGATGAGAAGAAACAAACAAAAGTCAGAGAAAAAAAAAAAGTCAAAAAAATTTCCACTGCATTGTTACCTATCCATTCTTTATATGAGAAGAAATCAAGAGTATTAAGTTTGTTCTTTATCTGCGGTCATAACTATAAATATTAAAAAGTATTTTTATTTAAAAAAAAAAAAAAACAACCAAGCCATTCTGGCCACAAAACGTAGAGCAACAGTACAAGACATCGTTCCTGTCAAAAAGTAACTCTCTACAGTGCAGCCTGTAAGCACTGGGCAGAATTGCAAATCTCCCTTACGTGGAAGCAAACACAAATTCCTTTCCTGCAAAAAGCCTAACACAGGCTAAGGCAAATAAAGATAAAACTGATGAAGCTGTAAAATAAACTAGCGTGCAATGTTATTACTCCGCTGTTCTAAAAGTTTCTTCTACAGTCAGACTTCTCTTTAACCTCCTCATGTTAAAGGCTTTGATAGGTGTACAACGAGGGACAGAGACTACGTCAGTCCTGAAAAAAAATGTGAGTTAGTGTGGGCAAAAATACAGCCTAAACTAGTGCAGTTTATTATAGCTGCAGCTAAGAGATGCAAGATTTCAGGAATGGCCTTAGCGTAGGCAGAGCCTCAGTCTCCGAGCCAAGGCAGCAAAAATGAGGGGCACAGGGGTGGGATGCCAGCTAACCTGCTGCCAGGGCCGTGCCGGCCCAGCGTGCTGGTCACTGCCCTTCCTTCAACACCAAAAGCTGCTCAAGCTGTTTCAGATAAACCTATGGTTAAACAGCCTCCCTGATTTTTTTAATTCCCATCCAGAATGATCCAGATGCCATGGAAGGTCTGGAGAAGCAAAAAGTGTTTAAGGA